CAATCTGAAATTCAAAAAGTTTATCATAAGTAAAAAAGGCAAGACGGCACAGATGTACAAAACAAATAAGGAAAAAAGAATGAAAGTAGACGTACCAGAGTCACTCTCCCTTACTCTGAAGCGATGACAAAGAGCTTATCTTTTTCACACCACTAGCTAGGAGATAGGCATTACACACACACACTACAACGCAGGCATTACACACACACGCTCTACATCACACACACACAACACCACAGGCATTACACACACAAACCACATATCTCACACACACACACAACACACTGCATCACAGGGAAAAATAGGTGTAGTTCAGAGGGTCAAAAGCCACAGCAGCATGATCAGTGACAGCTCGCTCAAGTCAGCGTAACATATCTGTACGTCCGGTTCAATAAATAATGCTCTTCTGGCAAAAAAAATATCTCCTACCAGCATGTGAAAGCTGGAGTATCCGCTTCTCCTAGCTACACACATTACAATCAAACGTTGCCGCAAATAATGCAAGCCAATAAGAGGTCATGGACACACAGCTTCCTGCAGCTAAGCTACAAAATCACAATTTTCAGCTCATCCCAAGACCAGGATCAACATGGTCCAGGGTCAAAACTGCTCCTCAAGAATCCCTGGAGAGCAACTCTGACAAGATGGCTTCTCTATTTTCAGTGAGATTCCCTTGAAATACTATTACAGATGCAGTGTTCTTCAAAAATGGGGTGGAAAAGGGGGAGGGGGGGGGGAGGAGAGAAATAAAGGCTTCCCTTAACTTACAGGCACCACCAAACACATGTTGATAGTTTAAGAAGCCGTTGACCTAGGGAACAAGAAATCCTGATTATTCTTTTTCATCAAGTTTAACCCAACAATGTTTCCATGGTCCCAGCAACAAGACAACACGACCAGGGTAGAGTTAACAAAAAGGTCACAGCACAAACTGCTACCCCTATAATCTGACATGGTTCCTAACAAAGGAGAGTCCTGTTTGACACACTCAATGATGCAGTAACAACAAAAATAGGTCATATTAGAGCCAAAGATATGTTACTAGAAAGTAATCTGCAAAGAAAAGAAGGAGGAGAGAGGAAGAGGACAGATTTTTTATAGGAAAGAAAGAGCAAACCCCACCACAGTATCACCCTTCCCCAGTTTTGGGTCAACCACATATTGGTGAAAACATTTCAATTCTGACAAAACTAGGCCTTTCACTTTTATTAAGTATCCCATGCATAAACGTACAACACACATACCTACAGGCACATACTCCACAACACAGGCAAACATTAATTAAATAAGTGAATAACACGCTGTCCTTTATACACACACACACTGACATGTAAAGAGTAAAAATACATACACAGCAAAACTACCATTTTCTTTTTCAGGCTGCATGTTATAATAATCACTGCGACGCTGACAATGTAGTTATGAAAACTGAAAAATGACTTCAGTTCCTGAGAATGACTTCAACCAAAACCATATGACCAGTAATAGTCTTACCACACAAAAGGCAAAAATAAAAATATGAAACTGAAGGAGAAAAAGATGTTAAAATACTTCCATTAAAATCTATAATACACTTACATACAACCTGAATCCCAAAGTCTTGAAACTTCCAAACATCATAGATCAGGTTATCAAAGGAATGCTTTCTAACCATTTCAAGCCGACATACAGCTACAGAGAGCCATCATAAAAAAGAGTAAGCCCTTACTAGAACTTCAGTGTACATCAGTAAAAACTCAAGCACACACACAAATGCACATTTGTACACTCACAAGAAAGGCATAATGCCTTTAGCTTTGCCCCAGACTTAAGTGAAACGAAAATCCTTCGCATTTTCTGACACCAAAACTCCCATCATCTATATACAAGTTTAAACCCC